ATATTTGGGAGGAACAATTTCCATCAATGAACCTAAGTGACAAAGAATATAGAGATTACAGAATTACTGGGGAAAGCCACTAAAACAAATAACCACAACCAACAGCAATCACAAATCCTAAGAGGAAAAATGGAGAAACAGAGACATTAATGAACTCCAAATATGTTTATCTAGAGGCTACATACATGTGCAGGACTGAGCATCTTCTCATGCTCATAGTGTGTAAGACAGTCCTAAGTGTTCATCTTTGGCCTACCAAGCACCACACAAGTGATAAGTGAAATCTAAAACAGAATTGTCAACTGCCAGGCTGCATATTGAAGGAATAAGTCAACACACACACACACATATATACACATGCACACACATATGTACACATGCACACACACATATGTACACACATGTACACACATCCATATATACAGATATAAACATAAACACAAGCACACACACATAGCTCACACACTCAGCAAAGACTGTGAGACTGAGTTGTTTCAGATATTTAGGGAAGCCTCTGTCTCCAGTCATTAACAAAGCAATGTAGCTAAGCACACTGAGCCATCAGTGGATATTTGTGACATATGCAGATTATGGAGTTTACAGAATTAGTTCAGAAAAGTCACTAAGATAACCACAATAAATAGCAACAGTTATACATCCTGGAGAAATATGAGTTTCAGACTTACAACCTTCTATTATTTAAATTTTCCAATGTTAGTAAAATTCATATGAACCATACAAAGAATTAAGAAAGGATAGCTCATATGCAGGAAAAATAACTCAATGGGAATTGTCACAGAGAGAACTCAGATTTAGGGATAAACAAAGACTCTAAATATGCTCAGACACCTGAAGAGAACAATATAAAACACTGAGCATGAGAATGATGTCTCACAAATTGGGGACTATCAACATAGATACAGAAATAAAAAGATAGAAATTCTAGAACTGAAAATTCTACCAGCTCTGAAAAAATGAAAAAAATTCTAATAACTAAAACAAAACATTCAGTTAAGGTAATAGCAGGTTTGAGCAGATAGAAGAAAGAACAATAGAACTTAAAGATATATCAGTCTAGAGAACAGAAAATAAAACTAATTAATAAAAGTAAACAGAGCCTGAGGGACCCACAGGATGCTATTAAGCAGCCTGCATATGCATAATAGAGTTCTTGAAGGAGAACAGAAAATGAGAAGGGCAAAAATACATGAAAGATATTAATGGCCAAAATAGTTCCAAATTGGATCCAAGAAAATATTGATCTATATGTTCAAGAGGCTAAAAAATTCAAAATAAGGCAAACTCAAAGAGATTGACACATCATCTTCAAACTATTTCAGGACAAAAGGAGACTCTCAAAAGCAGCAGAGGAAGCTACTCATTGCATTCAAAGGGATCCTCAATGATACAGCAGCTAAGTGCTTACCAGAAACAACGCAGGTCAAGAGACAGTGGAAGGACAGTCCATGTGCTGAAGGAAAGATTTTCTATCATGAACTCCGTAAACAATACGACTGTACTGCAGAGCTAGGCATGGTGGCACATGCCTTGAATCCCAGCACTCAGGAGGCAGAGGCAAGGGAATCTCTATAAGATCAAGGCCAGCCTGACCTACATAGCGAGTTCCAGGTCAGCTGGAGCTACAGGGAGACTGTCTTAGTTTGCTTCTATTTCTGTGATGAAAACACTGATAAAAAGCCAACTTGGAGAGCTAGGGGTTTATTTGGCTTACATATCCTGGGTCACAGTTTATCACTGAGTGAGCCCAAGGTAGGAACTCAGGGTAGGGACCTAGAGGCAGGAGCTGAAGCACAGGCTTTGGAGGAATGCTGCTTACTGTCTTGCTCTTTTGGCCTGTGCTCAGTCTGCTTCCTTATACAACACAGGACCATCTGCCCATGGGTGGCACCACCCAGTATGGGTTAGGTCCTCCCCCATCATTCAATAATCAAATTCCACTGACATGAGGCAATTTCTCAACTGAGATCCTTCTACCCAGGTATGTCAAGTTGACAACTAAAGGTATCCAGCACAGAGACCTGGTCTCAAAAAGAAAAATCAAAACAAAACAAAACAAAAAAACTATACTGCCGAAATGAAGCAAAAAGTATATTCCCAGGTAAATAAAAACAAAAAGAAAAATACTACTAAGAATACATTAAACTGAAATAAATGTATAATAAATAGCAATTTACATCCAGAAGAAGAAATAAACAATGACAGTAAATTTAACTACACAAGACAATGTAAATTTAGTTTTGTTGGCCAGTCGGAAAAATTGTCATAAATTAACATGTTAATTGCAATCCCCAGAGCAATCACTTAAAATTACTTAAAAAGTAGTGAAAGAAAGAACAAGAAAAATTCAAATGTGTACACTTGAAAAATACTTAACACAAATGAGAGAGTAATGGGTGAATAAGAGGGTTAGAGGACAAAAAGAATAAACAGCTCAACCATGGGGAAATCCCAGCTTATCAGCAATTGCATTAAATATAAATGCATTAAATACTCTACTTAAAAGACAAATATGACAGAATGGATTAGAAAATGTCCTAATTATATATTTTCTATGAGAGATGAACTTTAGAAGAGAAACAAAGGGAAAAAATAGAAAATTCAAAAATAATATATGGAGACACTAAGATACTAATACGACACTTTACTATTATGTAGAAAGACAGGACAGAGAATTGGGAAATAGAATTTGAGCACAACAAATCAATTAAACCTAAAAGAAACCTATACACCATCCCAAGCCAAAACAACCAATAAACATTATTCTGAAGTGTATGAGGAACATTCTCCAAAATAATATATGTTAAGTTCATTTAATAATAAGCCTCAATTTAAAAATATTTCATTTATTATTTTTTATTTTATGTATATGATTGTTATGCCTGCATGTGGCTAAGTGCACCTGTGTCGTGCAATGCCTGTGGAGGACAGAAGAGGCTGTTGGATGCCCTAGAACTGGAGTTATGGACAGTTGTTAGCTTCCATGTGGGTGCTGGGATTCGAACCTGAGTCTTCTACAAGAACAGTCAGTGTTATTAACTGCTGAGCCATCTCTCCAGCCCCAAGCCTCAAAATTTTTTAAATACTGAAAACATACAAAATTTATGTTTAGATAATAATTCAATCAAAGTACAAATCAGTAATAGATAACAATCTCACCAGCCTGGCCAAACTGGGTCCTCAATGATGAATGCCTTAAAGGGAATTTTCCAGGGGATGAGGAAAACTAATTAAGGATCTTTCCAGAAAGATCAAGAAGGGAGATGAAAGATACCCTCATAATAAAGGAGCAGAAGCAGATGTTAACTCCAGGATGAGCCTTCAGAGTGTGGCTTTGCAAGTTTGGAGTGTATAAGAAGTAAACCTAAGGGAAGGGATGCTTGCTGACAGTGAACTTAGTGTTACATTTTCTTGTATGTGTGTTTGTGTATATGTGGGGTACACTTATGTATGTGGGTACATATAGCTTTCAACTGGACCCTTGGCCCTGCCTGGTGCCTTTTAGCTTGAGGTAAACCTGCTACACTGGAGCTCTGGCTTAGATCAAGTCTCTTTTAGAAGTCCTTTCCTATGATCCACACCACAGGGACCCACCTCTCTCTCTGCTGCCCAAGACATGTTTCCATCAGTAAGACCCCAGTAAGCTGCACTTCAAGTTCCTGAATGCTTGTGTCTAGTGGCCTCCCTTGGGTCTCACAGCACTTAGAGCTGGTTCATACACACTGGGACTGGGTTTTTCCATAGCAGTCACCAGGCATATGAGTTTCATCACTGACATTTGTAACTGACATAGTAATTGTATTCTTATACAATAACTTGTGTGTGTAGTGGGGGTGCTGGAGGCTAACTTCAGCTGTCTTTCCTAAAGTGCCACCTACTTGGATTTTAAGAAAACTTTAGGCTTATTTTATTTTTTAATTAGGGGTGTGTGTGTGTGTGTGTGTGTGTGTGTGTGTGTGTGTGTGTGTGTGTCCAGGTGTGTGCACTTAACTACTGAGTCATTTCTCTGGCCCCCATATTGTTCTTTGAGACAGGGTCTTTCACCTGGCCTGGAACTCACCAAGCAGGCTAGGCTGACTGGTCAGCAAACCTCAGGGATTCACCTGTCTCTACCTTCCCAGCACTGGGATTACAAATGTACACGTCCACATCTGGATTTTTTTTCACATAGTTTCTGAAGAAAAACTCAGGTCCTTTACTGACTGAGCCATCTTCCTAGCCTGTAATACCATTTTTATTATGCAAGTTCATCAGGAACAGAATGCACTAAACTCAAGGACAGAGGACCACTTATTGACCCATATGCCCCAATGTGCTTTTTAATGGCTTCTCCTTTATGGGATTTTTGACTATCCTAAGGACACTCAATAGCAGACTCAATATTTTTTTTAAACAATCAATGAAGTAGCCCACAGTTGGTGTTAGCTATCACTATTTCATTTAATAAAATGACTGTCAAAGCATTTTCATTCCTACTTTCCAGATGAAGCATCTGAGATTCAGACAGTTTAAGGAACTTGCCCAGGGCCACACAGCACATGAACAAGCCCCAAAGGCTGTTAGACCACAGAGGGCAACGAAGCAGAAATGATGCTGGCAGCCAGTGGGACTCCCTTTAGCTAACTGTGCCAACAAAGAGGATGGGGCACAGACCCTGTGGGTATACAGATCCACAGAGGGGACACAGACCCACCGAGGGGACATAGGGAAGAATCACAGGGCTGTAGAAGAGACAATGATAGAAAATGTTACAAAGAAATTGTTTCGGTAACCTTGGCTACTGTCACTACAGCTTCAAGAAATCATTCTCTACCTATTCAGAGACCTGTCCATATGTTGTCTTCCATCTGTCAGCTTCCTGTGCCTCTGCCAAGCACCAGCCAGGTGTCTGTGAGCCCAGGAAGTCCTGTGATGAACTGGGTCAGCCCAGTGTATAGCGCTGGGAGATGGCTTTAAGGGAAGGTCACGGCAGCACTACTCACCGGTCCTGGAGGGCAGGGATCTTGGAAGGACACTGTAAATATTGTTTAAACCGGAGTTCGAAAGCTTGTCCAATGGAGCCGATGACATCTTGGGCCAACCCGTCACAGCATTCCAGAATGTGGCAAGCTAGAAGAGAAGGGGACACAGGCCCATTAGAGACAGTGCTGGAGGGCTCTGGGCTCCTTGACAAAAAGCCCCACCTGGGGGCAGCAGACCACAGGCTCATGCCTCCCTCATGGTGTGCCTCCACCCACCTGTAGCCTCATCTCTGGTGGCACCACATAGTGACAATGGGACACATTAATGTCTTGGCAGGATTGTCTGTAAAATTAAAGATTCTATTTTTTGTGTATGGGTGTTTTGCCTGCATGAATGTAAGTATACCACGTGCAAAGTCAACACTTTGACTTAGTGGTAAACAACTTGCTCTAAGTGTACTAACCAGACCAAGATTCATTTAGTGGGCAATAGTTTAACCCTGTTGCTTAAAGTTCATGGGGGCCTTAAAGAAACACAGTGTGTGAAAGATCCAGATCTTTGTGTTGAGATTTCTTACTAAGCACTGCTTCCCTATGCAGCACCTATGGAGACAGGAGCAGGGTGTTGGATCCACTGGAACTAGAGTTATAGGCAGTTATTAACAACCATGTGGGTGCTAGGAACTGAACTTGGGTTCTCTGCAAGAGCCCCCAGTGCTCTTAACCACTGAGCCATCTTTTCAGCCCCTATAGATACTATTTTTCAATACAGAAATTTCAAGTTCAACTTGATGGTTCTGATACTCTCAGAATCTACAAACTGTTGATTCTGACCTGCATGGTTAAAAACATTAAGAAGCACAATGTAGGGGCTGAGGAGATGACAGTCTATAAAGCACTTGGAAGAGTGGGCAAAAAGACTGTAGGAGCTAAAGGAACAGGATGCTAACTGCTAGGTAACAGTGTCTTCCAGACATGTCAGGGAAGTCACACCCATGAAATCTCAACAATATGGTTGCATAAACAAGATCTACATAGTGACAACACCAGTTGACATGCCAACCTGGATGGGGAAAATTTCACACGGTCCCATTCCTAGATGAGGAGCTATAGAGAGTCAATGGCTGCTGAGGGAGGGGGAATAAGTTCTCTCTAAGGACAAGTTCCCTCCCTGATAAGATGGAATGTGTGTGTGTGTGTGTGTGTGTGTGTGTGTGTGTGTGTGTGTGTAACTGAGGAGGAGTCAGGGGAGCAAGGGAAGAGTTGGAAGCAGAAGAAGGAGGGGTGAAAGGTGTGAAAATTTATGTAAACACAGTACTCATGTATAAAATTCTCAAATAATTTAAAATTTTCCTAAAAAGAATACAAAAAGAGGAATGTTTGAGGTGATAGAAATGTGAATTACTCTGACTTGATCATTACAGATTGTAAGCATGCTTTGAAACTTCACACTGTACCCCATAAATAAAACCAATTATGTGCCAATCAAAAATAAAATAGGAACTGAGGAAGCGGCTCAGCTGGTAAAGTGTTTTCCATGAGAGCAGGAAGACCTGAGTTCAGATCCCCAGCATCCACATGGAAAGCCATGTACAGAGGCCCACAGCTATAAGCTCAGTTCTGGGGAGGTAGAGACAGGAGTTGAATCCCTGGTGCTTGGTGATCAGCTTTTCTAGTCAAATCAATAAACTCTTGGTTCAGTGTGAAACCCTGTCTCAAAAAATAAGATGGAGGGCAGAGAGAGAGAGAGAGAGGAAGATACCCCAAGATCACCTCTCGCCTCCACAGGCATACACACAGGCACACAGGCACACACACATACATACATACACAGGCACACACATACATACCCCCCACACATACAACTAAAGTTTACAATTAAATAAAATAATTCATTAGAATCCAGAAAAACTGGCATGATGGGGGCTCCATCTCTACAAATATCAGTCATTGTTTAGGTCTCTTGTTGGCCACAACCTCCTAAATTTAACTCATATGTAAACTTGATCTATTTGAGATGGTTGATGGTGGTTCCCATGGGACTCAATAACTAGAGAGTGAGACCTCTTGTTCTTTCACTGGATTAACTACAAAAGCTGTGGACTCTTGGTACCCAAGGGGCAAATATAAAGTCTCATTAGAAATACTTCTAGCACAGAATACTTTTCTGCAAGATAGATCTGGTCTCAGTCTTCCCAACAGTACTGCACATCGTCTATCTCAGAGGGATCCTTAGTGAAGGGACCAAGGCCATGTGGAAGAGAGCCTGACCCCCTGACTTTGGAAAGTGAAGATGGGTAGAAGAGTCTTGGTTCTTGACATCATAGAAGCTGGGCCCTTATATGGTCCAAACTAAAGTGCTCCAAAGACCAGTCTTTCTGGATATAGGCTGTTCCTTAGTGCTCAGTCTTGTTGTACATTGAAACATCAGAGTCACACAAGATTTGTATGTTTTTGTGTGTTTGTGTGTCCAGGTGTGTGTACATGTGTGCGGGTGCACATATGTATGTGTGCATATGTGTGCATGTATATGTGGAGGTCACAGAACAAGTTTAGATGTCATTCCTCAGTAAACGCCAATTTGTTTTTATGAGACAAGGTCTCTTGTTGACTTCAAACTCAGCAATTAGGCTAGACCTGTCAGCCAGCAAGCCCAGGAGTCCTGTCTCTATCTTCCCAGAGCTGAGATTACAAGCCACCATACCTGGTTTTTTTAGGTGGCTTCTGGGAAATGAGCTCAGTTCCTCACGCCTGCACACCCAGCACTTTAGCAACTGAGTTGTTTCCACAACCCTGAACGAGCTTTGTACAGCCCTGAACATTGCTGCCTGACACATTCGCTCAGACCTGAGCACTGAGATTTTTTTATGGCACTCCTAGGTGACTCTCAAGTGTATCTCATTTTGAGAACCATTGACCTAGACCTACTAAAGATGTCTGACAAAATAGTCTAGGATCACTTGAAACTAATTTGAAACAAAATAAAATGGAGAAAGAACCTCAACAGCTTCTAATCCCAGATTGAATTCGGAAGCCCAGTGCCTGGTAAGGTATAGCCTGATGGCTCATGACCCCACTACTCCCCCTGAATTGCTGTGGGTTGAATTAAATCCTCTGAAAAGAGAAGTTATGAAAAGAATCCTGACCCCAGGACCTCAGATCATGTTTGGAAACAGGGCACCTGCAGATGTAGCTAGTTAAAATGAAGTTACAGTGGGGAAGGATGGACCCTGATTCACCATGACTGGCATCTCCATAGATGTCCACAGCATTGGCAGGCACAGGGAGAATGCCATGTGAGGATGGATTACAGTGGTGTGTTTGTAAGCTGGGAACAACAGAGATCACCAGTAACTCCAGGAAACCAGGACGAGATGAGTGGGGATTTCCCCTGCTGACACCATGATCTTGGGCCTCCAGAACCATGAGGCAACTAATCTGCCATGGCTTCAGCTGTCAACCTGACATAAATCTAGAGTTACCTAGGAAGAGGGAGCCTTAACTTAAGAATTTTTCAGATCAGATTGGCCTGCAGCCATGTCTGTGAGGCATTTTCTTAATTGCTAATTGATATGGGAGGGCCCAGCCCACCACAGGCAGTGTCATCCCTAGGCAGGTGGGCCTGGGTTGTGAAAGAAAGCTAGCTGAGCAAGCCAGAGGGTGCAAGTCAGGGAGCAGTGGTTTCTGCTTCTGGTTCCTGCTTTGAGCTCCTGCCCTGACTTCCCTCAATGATGGACTGTGACCTGCGAACTGAAATAAGCCCTTTCCCCCCCAAGTTGCTTTTAGTCAAGGTGTTTTTATCACAGCCACAGAAAGCAAGCTAGGATGTCATCCTTGTTGCTTTAAGCCACTTAATCTTTGTTTGTCATGGTAACTTTTGAAACTAATCATGTGACCTCTAATCCTTCAGCACAGGCTTCGATTCGAAGTGTGATCAGAGTGGTGATTAATTCCATTGTCTTCATCCATGAGTTCTCACGTGAGGTGTGACTCCTCAGAATCTGCCTGGTGTTCAAGGATAGTAACTTTTAGCCCACCTCCCCAAGTGCATTATCAGCCAATGGGCTTTAGTTTTATAAATAACATCCCCCTCCAGCCTGAGTCTGAAGTCCTTAGAAGTTCAAGCTTAGACACTGAGCTTGGACACTGGAACCCAGAGCTGGTGACAGGACAGTGAGAATACACAGGAAAACACTCAAAATAATAGGCAGGTGCCCCATCTCCCAGGTATAAGTGGGGCCACTATCAGAGCAGACATAGGTGTGCAAATTATGGCCATCCAGGCACAGGTGTGCATTTGGCACTCAGCATTTGGCATCTCCTCTCTGAGCTAGATGATGATACCCTTGCAAGCCTCAATTATCCTTAATCATGCCACATGACGTGCACATTTGCTGAGAGGAGCCAAGGTAATGAGGAACATCTGGTACATGGCATTAAGCATGGCCAAACACAAGTGAGTGATTAAATGGGTCAAGCATTGCTTACCTCTGCGATTAACAGGGTCCTTAGCGACATAGGCAACATAGTCTGTTGTGTCCTGAGGAAGGAAAAGGAGACATCTGTATCACTCATCACAGTGAGAGGCAACACGCCAGGGATGCAGAGCCCAGTGAAAGATATATTCACTCATCTATCACAGCCAAGAATCAGGCTTACAACACAGATCACCACAGAGTACTTTCCTAGTGTGGGGGTGGGGGGCCTGAGCTTGATCCTCAGTACTGAGAGATTGGAGAAAGGGAGGGAGGAAAAGGGGAGAGAGGTAAGGTGGGAGGGAAGAGGGGAGGGAGGAAGAGCCAAATTCTGCCTACAAAGTGATCCAACTAAGGCACATTGTCAGACTTGGATGTGGCAGGAATTCCCTAGAAATCTCAGTCTGTAGACTGGACAGTGCCTGAGGCTCTGCATCACTAACTAGCTCCACCAGGTGTGGTTGCCAATCTGTTCCCACACTCAGAGCATCTAGGGTGACAGGCATCCGTTCTCCCCAGGTTGGGAGACTTTCAAGACTGATGCCTGAGTCTCACTGGCTCATCTTATTTAGATGGCTGGGTTATGCTGTTTGCCATTGCTGCAACTTTAAATTTCACTGATAAACTAATATCAGTCAATGTCAAGAATTGACAGTCATCAGACAGAGGAATCCCTGGAGCCTGCTGGCCAGTCAGCCAGCCTAATCTGTGAGCTCCAGGTCTCTGTAAGGTATCAACTGGAGTTCCTGTCACAATCTCCTAAGGATTAAGGCAGATGGCTTGACTGTACCTCAGTTTTCCACCTGAGTCCCCAAACTGGATTGCTGACAAGTTACAGCTGCTGCTGAGCCAAAGACCATACCTTGAGAACTGATGGTCAGGAATAACATCAGAGCAGTTGTTCAAAACACTGGCTGCAAACACTCCTTGTGTATACATGCCAAGAATCAGCTCTTTACTTCTTGAATGGAAGTAATGATGTCAACCCATTAAGATGTTTATGGCACTGATACTCACAATAGCCCAGATATGGAATCAGCCTGTGTACCCTTCAATTGATGAGAGGTTATAGAAAGTGTGGAGTAGCTACTCAATGGAGTTTTATGTAGCCATGAAGGAATGAAATGATGTCATTAGCAGAAAAACAGATGGAACTGGAAATCATTATATGAAGCAAAGGAAATGCTGAAAACAAAGTAATTCCAGAGGGAGCTAAGGTTAGCAGCAACTGGGATATTGTAGTACAGAGTCTGGCTGTTGTCTGCTCACACTAAGAGCTTGCCTGAGGCTAAGTTGAAAAGCAATGGACTAACATCTTTGGTGGAGGATATTTCAAGACAGCCTAATGTAAAAATGGTGGCATGTCTGTTAATGGTGAATATTATGCAGATCTACAGTGAAAAAGAGCAAATGGGGCTGAAAGAAATATAGAACATACAGTTTGGATTAAAAAAGAGCACTAGGAAGATTAATGTTGGAGCCAAGGTTTTCTACTAGAAAACCACTGAAAAGCTTTGAAGGTGGATGAAGCAGGTCAGGGTCCATCCCAAACTTGCAGCCAAATTTGTCAGTGTCATTCACCTGGTGATGACTTTAGAGGCATAAAAGATGCAAGAGTGAAGGGGTCATCGGTTCTTCCTCCATAGTTTCAGAGAGCCACCGAGGCCAGGCAGCATGCAGCAGGGGTTTCTCTGCATAAAGAAGGCCCTGACAGGCCAAGAGGCCCTGATAGGCCATTGCATGAAGCTATGAAGGTGAAGCCCTGTTGGCAGTGGAAACCCTGAGAAGACATTCATGATGCCAGAGTTGTGAGATATCTGCCAAGGAGAGGTGCATATGGGGAGTGGTACCAGCCCAAGAGAGAGATGTGTGTTGCATGCAGCAAAGCTGGAGAGGCTGAGCCATCTAAGCCTTTTGGAAGTAAAGTCTCAGAAGTCGGATATGGAGCTATTGAATTTGGTGTTTGCCCTGCTGGTTTTCAGTCTTGTTTTGATCCCATATTTCCTCACTATGCCTCTATTTTTCCCTTTTGGAATGGTAATTGTGTTCGGTTCCACTGTATGTTGGGAGTATGTAATTTGTCTTTTGATTTTTCAGGATCTTACAGTTAGGAGATTGCCTTGAATCTCAGAAGAGACTTTAGACTGTGGACTTTTGAATAGCATTGAGACTGGTAATGACTATGGGGACTTCTATAAACTCTTCCTTCTATAAGTTCCCTTGGTCTTACTGTTTCTGTTACAGTAACAGAAAAGTAACTAACACAGAGTCAGACAAATATCACATCTTTTCTCCCATATGTCAAAAGAAAGAAAGCCTTGAAAGCAGACGGGAGACTATAAGGAACGTGAGGAGAGTGGGACTGGGGGGAATAAGGTGGGTGAATATGATCAGAGTATGCATCCGTGAAATTATCTCATTAAACTTCATTATGCTATACAGTAAGTCATGCTAATTTAAATTTATTTTTAATGTTTTAAAACTATGAGCTGAATTTGGAAATACAAGTGTGAAATACAAGTTTCCTTGCCTTCCTTCTCAGGGTCTCAATGGTCTGCCAAGGCAGCCTGCATGCACTCACTCTGATCAAGTAATCTGGGAGCCAGTCATTTTCTTAATTCTTAAAGCCAGAGAGACTTCTCTACAAAGTTGGCATTTTGGCCACTCAGAACAACAAAAAAAAAACCCTTAAGGTTGGGGTGTAGGTTGGTCCTCTGGGTTCAGTCCCCAGTACCTCCCTCCACAAAAACCAAAACCAACAGAACAGTTGTGGTTTCATTTCTGTTGCTGTGACAAATACCCTGACTAAAAGTAACTCAGGGGTGTGAAGAGTTTACTTGGCTCACAATTCCAGGTTCCAGTCCATCACTGATGGGAGTCACAACAGCAACTTAAAGCATCATATCCACAGTCAAGAGCAGAGAGATGGTAAACACACACATCCTTTTTTGCTTGCTTTTGCTCAGCTCAATATCTCCTTTTATTCTGTTCAGGACCTACCTAGGGAATGATGCTGCTCACAAAGGGCTGGGTCTTCCTATCCCACAGACATGCCCGCCAGCCAACATTATCTTGACAATTTTTCAATTGAGGTTCACTTCCCTGGCGATTTTAGGTAGTGTCAAGTTGATGGTTAAAACTGAGCAGCACACAAACAAAAACTCTGAGGGCAACTTGAAAGGTTACCCTATTTTTGCCAGTAACTTTCCAAATCATATGCTTTAAAGGGCTTCAAGGCAATCACTGCTCCCTATGTGGAAGCTGTGATGGTTTGACCTGTGTTGTTCTGTATGGGAGCAGAAGCTCCCTTCTCAACAGGGCTCCAGGAAATGCTGGAGGAGAGTGAGGGGGAGGAGCATGGGTGAGCTAGCAGGTGGAGGTGGGCATGGTGCCCTCCAAGCCTACAGAACAGGAGCAGGACACTTCCAGTGGTGGAGACAAAAGATCTCTAGTCTCTGAGACTCATCTGAGCATATTCATTTGATAGCTACTGATATTTCACAGAATGACTTAGAGAAGGGTCAGGAAGACCTAACCACCCTCTCTGTTTACATCCATGGAGGGGAGGGGGACCTGCTTAAGGATTTGAAGCTGTCGGCAAAAATATGGAATATAGCTCAGATTATACACTTTCTTCCTAGATTCATGGGATGTGAAAGTCCGAAGTGTCCTTAGGGAGCCTAGGTGAAGACCTTAGGGGGTAGAGAGCCCTGGAGCCCTGGGGTGTGCTCTCCAGATTTGAAGTCTCACCAGAATGTCCTTAACTTTGTATTTTCTTTTCCACAGTGTAACCTGAGTACACAGAGATCATCTAAATGGCTGCTTGGCATTGAGTTAGTTCTGCGAGTTTCAAGGATGAGATTGAAATTTGTGGTAGGCTTCCCTACATTGTGGGAGCTCTGATTTTAAAGAATGAGAGCAGATGCCTCTGCCCCATTTGATTCAAATTACTGTCACACTTGTGCCTAAGGATGCATACTGAACGTTTTGCTTGAATGGCACATATTAGCAGAAGAATTAAGTCATGTGAGTGCCATGGTAGCAGAGACTGCACTAAAAAGCTCTGCATCCTCATGGCTAGTTCAGAGGCACATGGAGCAAAGAGCAATAAATTTAGTTTCAACAAAATTTCTCATCATAATAAATTAAACAAAACTGCATGTGATCAAGATTTACAGCATCCATTTCCAAGTAGTTTCCAAATTTGATTGGGGTTTAAAATTCAAAGAAAAAGTCTAAGCATAAGGAATTTATTCTTTTAGTTTTGTACATATCCAGGTAGCAAAATTAATTCCAGTTAGCACTAGTGGTGCATGCAAGGAAATTCTAGTTTTTAAAAGTTCTTACTCCAGTTTAATAAACTATCTGTGGCTCAAAATTGGGGAAGGAAGACTAGTCATGAGTTATGGTATGTATTTCTCAAACCATCCACAACCAATCCAGGACATGGCCAGTCTGATCATTTGTTGGCACTATTTCCTAGTATATCAGAACTCAAAGCAATGTTTTGACATTACCAAGTTCCACAGTGAGCACACTAAATGGCAGAGAAGGGGCTGTGGAGCTCCCATTCTACACATATTTCATTCCTGTTCTCAGTCCCCAAGACCTTCTGAGCCTGGCCATTGTGATACTCTCTCTCTCTCTCTCTCTCTCTCTCTCTCTCTCTCTCTCTCTCTCTCTGTGCGTGTGTGTGTGTGTGTGTGTGTGTGTGTGTGTGTGTGTAGGCCAGAGGACAGCACCAGGTGCCATTCTTCAGGTCTTTGTTTTTGAAACAGGGTCTCTCACTGAGACCTGGAGTTCAGAGATTAGGCTGGCCCAGGGATCCTTCCGTCCCTGCTTCTCCAGTGCAAGGAGGCACCTTTTCACATGTGTTCTGAAGATCCATACTCAGTTTTTCATGCTTGCGAGCAAGCACTTTCCTGAGCCATCTCTCCATCCCCTCTTGGTGGTCTTTTAATGTTAGGAATCAAAGTATGTTTTCACTGCTCACAATCCTCATCTCGACTCCTGCATGCTGGGATTATATGTGTGTACCAATATACCTGAACAGGACAATTTCTGTATCAGAAAAAAAAAATCACAGAAAATATAAGACAGTCCGGATCACTTCAAATGCCACCAGTCTTTTTATTTTATTTTTTATTTTTTGAGACAGGGTCTTACTGTGTAGCCCTGGCTGGTCTAGATATCTCTATGTAGACCAGACTGGCCTCAAACTCGGAGATCTGCTAGTGTTTTTTTTTTTTTTTTTTTTTTTTTTTTTTTTTTTTTTTGAGACAGGGTTTCCTTGTAGCCCCAGCTGTCCTGGAACTCACTATGTAGACCAGGCTGGCCTCGAACTCACAAAGATCTGCCTGCCTCTGCCTCCCAAGTGCTGGGATTAAAGGTATGCGCCACCACACCCAGCTTTTTTTTTAATGAAGAGATGATGAGGAAATCTGAAAGGGTTTATAGTCTTTAGCGTATCCTGAAAGAAAAATAAAACAATTTTAATGCAAGGCAATGTTCTTGACTTCCCAGGATCTAGCCATGTGTGCCTCTGCTCAAGAGTTTATCATTAAGACACAGATTCAGAAAATTTCCCAAGAGAAGCTGTTTGCACAGATGAGAACTGGGTTGCCACCCACATTTAGACACTATGGTTCCATCCTCAGCACTGGAGAAAGACTACAGTTCAAGCACCACACTGGCTGACCACTCCCACCAGTCAATCACTGCCAATGGTCAACCACTGCAAATTACTTAGAGCTAGAAATCAACAGATGTAGGTGGTCTTGGTCTGGGGGGAGTGGGGAAGTCATAGAACAGTTTTTGTCATTTAAATGAACTTGGGTCCAAAAAAAAACTCTCCATTCATAACCCTAATTTTAGTTTTTGTCTTTAACCAATAAAAACTTTACCCAGACCAATGTAAATTAACATGGTGACATTTAGAGAGAGATTTTCTCCCCACCACGGCTGGGAAAAGCCAGGCTTCCTCCTCCCTTGCTCCCTTGTGGCTGGTTTTATGCCTGTCTTAGAGCTCCAGTAAGGAAGCAAAACAAAACAACCAAGCAGGACAAGCATTGCAAGATGATGACGGAGGACCCTGGCAGCTGGGGACACTGGAGCCATTGCTGCTTCTCCTGAAGGCCGTGCTTCTAGAACACCTGACACCTCTTGTCTAATGGTAATTAATGGTAGGACCCTGTCACAGGTTATCTCCCCAACACCTCTCCAAAAAATGATAGTCAAGAAGGGCTTATATCCGAGGAACTGTTGGGAGCTGATTATTGCTGTGTGAGGGAGAGTTGGTCTTATTTAAGGGAGTGAACCGGTTCCAATGAATGAACTCATACCGACAGACATCTGGAAACACAAACTTGTCTCGACATGCCTTAACATATATGACAGAATGCATAAAATCTGGTGAGCAGGCTATGAGGGGGGAAGATAGAAGAGGGGTTCTAAATATGATTGAAGATGTGTTGCATGAAATACACAAAAATTCAATAAAAATATATATTGGAAAAAAGGATTTATGAAAGGAAAGCTTAATGATAGAACACTTGCCTTGCCTGCCTGGGCAAAGCCTTTGGTTCAATCTCCAGTATAGAGGGAGGAAAGGGAAGAGGGAAGGGAAGGGAAGGAAAGAGGAAAAAGAAGAGGAAGAAGAGGAGGAGGAGGAAGGAGGGAAAGAAGGAAAAAAGAGAAGAAAGTAACAGTTGGAATCAGTTTTTATGGCATCTTTAAGGTGCACACTTTAAGCAGGGGATCTTCTCAGATATCCCCAGTAAGAGCTAGAGATGTCTGAAGGCACTCACCGGGTCTCCCCCTGAGGCAAAGGAGATGGACTGCATGTGATGGTTCGCTATGATCTGCCAGAGCCAAAACAAGAAAGAGGAGCCATTAGTGCCTTCCCATGTCTGTCAAACCAACTGTGTTGGCAGCAATATAAACAACAAGTTTTCCTGAAAACTGCCCCCATAGGAAAATGACAATTATAAACGTCAAGAAAACAGCTCCCCTGCCACCACCATGCACAGCCTTATGGCTGCCATCTCACTGGTTGACCAGAACCCCCAAGCCTTACCAGTAGCTGGAGAACTGTGGGAATCCCATTTTACAGACATAGAGCCTGAGGCCAGAGGGGCCATGTGGATTGCTCAAAGTAAGAACTACAGTAGTCACAGATCTATGATTGAACTCAAGGCCACCCACCTGAGGCCACTGGATCTCTTCAAGAAGGAAAACATGGACCTGCTGAGTGACTCAATTGATAAAGAATTTGCCTTACAAGCAGGAAGATCTGAGTTCAATCCCCAAAGCCCACATAAAAATAAAGAAAGTGTGGTGACTTGTCCCTATAATTCCAGTTCTGGAGAGGAAGAGACGGGTAGATCCCTGGAGCTCGTGGGCTAGCCAGACTAGCTGAATCAGCAAGTTCTAGACCAGTGACAGACTCCATCTACATGCACATACACAGACAGACAGACATGCATGCACACACATACACACACACGCATACACACACAAAGAAGGAATAATAGTTGCCCAATACATTATACCAAAACATTGCAACTTTTGGTTTCTGCTCCCCCCAGACAGGAGTATGGCCTAGTTTTTCCCCTTCATGTCATTCTTATCAGGTGTGTATAAATGAGAAAGGCAGCATCAAAGTCTCAAGGTTGGTACCATGCAAAGCCTTCTCATAATTCATGGGCTTACAGACCAGCAGCCCTTCCATGTACAATGGGAAAATTCCATCAGCTTCATAAACTGCAGCATCCATAGACTTTTGTAGACATGGAGTGAATCAGAAGCTGCCCTAAATTCTAAGAGCCACGTAAGTCTTCTGTGCTATTTTTATCCTTTTAAAGACAATGTAATGACATTGAAGTAAATTTCCTGGGGTAGGAAAAGAGCTCTTAGCTCTATCTTGACACAGCCAGGTTCATTTCTGAGCAGTGCCCCTCAGCCCTTGTCCCCTGCAGACAGTACTGATTCACAAATCATCAGAGGAGTTTTCCAAATGTGCTGCTGTAAAACTCAAAATAAAATATAAACTATAGGACAAAAGAAAAATATTTTTTGAGACAGGGTCTCCCTGCGGCCCTAGCTGAGGCTGCTGGGTAGCCTGGGTAGACTATGCCCGACCCCCTGATGACTAAACTAATGATAGTTGCCCTAGAATCCTGCTACCCATGGGTAGGTGGGAAGACAGCTTCTGAAAGAACAGTAAAGCAAGAGAATCCCCAAATCACTGTAAATGAGGGCTTCCAGTGTCTTCTTTTTGTGTGTGGTGGGGTGCAGAGAGAGGTGGAGTTGAGACAGGGTTTCCTGTAGCCCACGATGACTTAGAACTCAATATGTAGCTGATGTCATCTCCCTAGCGCTACATAGGGGCATCCCACCACGCTCAGTTAAAGTTTCTAATTTTGCACAACTAATTTCTCTGTGTTTAACTTTTTGCTTATTTAATTTGTCCTTATTGCTGTGGAGATAGATCGGCAAATTGCTTGCCATAGAAGGACAAGGACCTGTGCTTGATTCCCCAGAACCACATGAAAAGCTGGGCATGATGGGTACACTTGTGCTTTCAGTGACAGGAGGATCCCTGGGGCTCACTGACCAGACAGTCTAGGCTACTTGATGAGCTTCAGGCTAATGAAAGACTCTGTCTCAAAAAACAAGGTAGACTTCATCTGAAGAAATTCAGCCAAGGTCATCATCTGGCACACACACACACACACACACACACACACACACACACACACGCACCTATCCAAAACTAAAGTTAGAAATTAAATTGGAAACTACAGTTTAGCAGAAAAAAAGGAAGTTGTGTTTGATCACCTCGATGTGTGATCACTGTCATGATTGTCACTAACCCTTCCAAGAATCCAAGAAAGGGAGAAGGGGGTAAGAAAATGCGAGACAGTGGCCCTGTTCCGTGCACAGTGCTCTGAGGCTTCCATCTCCATTCCTCTGCTTGGAGCTCGGCATCCTGAAGTAGATTCTACCTGTTCACACCCTGTATGCAGAAGGCAGGGTCTCATCCATGTTGTCTCAATTTGTGACAATGGGAACCTAAACTCAGGGGGGTGGGAGAGCCACAACCACATGCTGTGCTTAGGTTGCAGATTACAGCAGTGTTACTCTGGCTAGCAGCCCTTTGGTGTCAGAAGACCTGTGCCAGACCCACCTAACACACAGAAGAGAAATGAGAACTAGACCCCCAGCCAGACCCCTACCTCTACTATCCCAAGATAGAGCAGGGATGTTTTCATTCCTCTGTTAGATTTCATTTATTTCTACATCTTGGTATGGATAGATGACAGATTGACAGCTAGGTAGTGAGATGACAGATAGGACAGGATAGATACAGACACGACATAGAAATATAGCATCCTAACCAGAATTAGTCTTAAATGTGGTTGTGCTGCCTGGGTTAGCTTTGAGCTCATTCCACTCTGTCTACACTGTAGATACCACAGCCTATCAGTGCTGTAACACAAGAGACTGTACGATGGTCCAACATAAGAAGCCGCTAAGGAAGAAAACCTCCTGCACATTAAACCACAGCACACTATCGACCTTGGGATAAAATTAAAATGTGGCTTCTAAACCAATAAAATATGGCTTTAAAACATGAGCAGAGACACTATGGAAGACATTTGCAATGGCATCTCATTTTCTCACATTACATGTAAGGCACCAGTGTACAGTTACAAACCAAAAATCATTTAGAGCAGAATTACAGGACCAACTCATCCATCAGTCTGTGGGTGACCTTTCAAAGTGACCAAAGTTCAAGGTTTGATCAAGTACATTTTGCATGGGCTCAGTAAGCTAGGAGCAGGAAGCCCCTGGGGTGTCCTTCTTCTGGGTCCTGGGGAGGTCCGCATGACCACGCACCTGTTTGGAGTCAGGTGTGCGCAAGTTCAGGCTGGCAGTGGAGATGGTCAGGGAGATGCTCATCCCTGCAAACTGAAGGTTGCTCTTCCCCAGGATGCTGGACAGCATTTTACTTGGAGGCTGCGGAATCCAAAAACATTATTTTAGCTTTGAAGTTATCAAAGGCCAGACTCTGTCCTTATCATCTGAAAGAACAGAGGCTGAGATGCCAGCAGACGCCCAATTCTCACTGACTGCTCCCACCTCCGTAGGTACCCAAAGACAAGTGTGAAATGGAGGGGTTGGGAAAGTGGGAGTCCATGCCAATATGCACATTCTAGAATATGCAGCATGCAAATAGTAAAAAGCCCAATATGCAAATGCTGGGGGCAGGCTCCTGGCCTTCCTGGCTGCTTTGGCTACATACTAGTGTCTCCTAGGGCCCCTTGGATGTGTCCTGAAAAAACCACACAGGCAGGGACACCACAGCTTTTCAGACAGTGAAAGCTGGCCCCGACAAAGGGTTTCAAGGCTCACTACTGAAGGGAATCTTTGTCCTACGCATGCCTCCAGCAAAGGCTAACCTAGACACATCAGTTAGACTCTGACTGTCTAAAGCCAGGTCAGGTCATGAGGTAGACTGCCTATGACTGTGTCGCCATCACCCCTCAGAACAAAGGGCTTCCTTCCGTCTTCAGCCTGGCATCTTCCCTGCAGGTCCCTGGGCAAACACTGCAACCCTTACCTCTGTACTCCAGGACAAACCCCACTCTCTTTATTTGGTCGCAGCATCTTCCACTCACTGTCCCAAATAGTTCCTCACCAGACACATAGTTCCTTGCTTCACTGAGAGAGGAAATGCAGCAACTAAGCCTAAGGCTTTCTAGAGTAGAGTTGGGGGACTTGGAGGGTCACATCCACCTGCTTAAGTTCAGATCACAGAATGTTCCAGCAGATGCAGATAAGAGGCTCAATTCTGAATCTGAAGGCCTTGGATACCACTCAGCAGAGAGTACCCTAGTTAAACCAATCAGAATGGGTTTGTAATTTAGGGTGTCTGCCCAGCGAGTGAACTGCCTCCAACGACAGCTTTGCATGGAAACCCTCCATTAACAAACATCTCTTTTGAACTTCCCTCTGTGGACCCTATTCAGGAATGCCCTGGTTTGGTGTATCCAAACTTAATCTCAATGCCTCCCAGATAGATGCTACTCCTTTGATACATTTACCATGCCAATCTCCCCCTACCTCTCTACTTAACATTCCTGAAAGAGCTCTTTAAAAAACAGTGCTGTGTTCTTGAGAGTCAGGTCAAGTGCATCTCAGGCAAAGCAGAGGCAACTACCATTACCTCCATCTCTTCCCATCAAGAGAGTCATGAGGTTACCCCAAGGCCTGTTAGGACCACCTGGTTTTGAGAGGTGGGGTTCCTTTTAATGGTTCCCTGATGATACCCTGATTCCTATAGTCAAGGATCGGGATCCTTGCTTGGTTCCTAGGAGCACTAGGGGACTGGTCAGGATATAACTGGGTGTATCTGGGTTGTCATTCCAAGTTCTCTGCCCCAAACCCAGTTTCCTTGTGGGTGTATGAATGTCCCCTGACTCTGAAGACAGAGTGAACTGGTATCTTTGGGATGGCAGAGAAAAGTGCCCAAACCCCCTGGAATCTGGAATGCTCAGCCTGTGGTAGACACAGAACTCTCCATGGTATGTTTTCCCACAATTCCTTCTAGGCAGAGAAAAGTCACGGTTGTGTGTACCAAGTTATATATTTCTTACATACTTAATTAATGAGAACACATGTGTGAGATTTTTCTCAGATTTAGTATCTTATCTTCCTTTTTTGTGTGTGGTGTATGTAGTGTAGTTGTATGCCCACATGTGTATACACATATGCATGCATGTGGAAGCCAAATGTCACTATCAGGCATCTTTATCATTCTCCACCTATTTTCTGAGGCAGAGTCTCTAAATGAACCTGGAGCTCACCAATTCAGCAAGCCTGGCTTGTTAGGGATCCCCAGCATCTGCGTCTCAATGCTTCTCCAACACTAAGATTACGGGCATGTGCTTCCATGCTGGGCTTTTTACATGGGTGCTGAGATCAGAACCCATGTCCTTGGGCTTCTGCCATAAACACTTTACCAACTAAGCCATCTTCCCATCTCTCAGATTTTTTCTCCCTTCTAACCCAATCATGTACAGGATGGAAAGTTCCAGAAATGTAGTTGAACATTTGGCCTCCGGAGCAGGTGGTCTGGCTTACTACAGCTCCAGTTCCTACTTATATTGTGGCTTCTTGGCCCCAAGCCTCAGTCTTTGTCATCGGTAATGTGGGTTTTCCAGTGATGTGGTTGAGACAGCTCAGGAGAGCCAATTATGTCTTTAGGAATTGTATGAGTTGACCATTAAGTAGAGTTGTTATTAGGAATATGCACTTGCAGTTAAACAGATGACATAAAAAATAGAGGGTAAACACTCCTCTGTCCTGTTTTGCCACATGAATCTGTGCTCCATGACCTGTTCTTCAGGTTCTGTCTACTGTACCTGCATGATGGGAATGCTACACATTGATGAGCTACTCTGTGTCTTCTTGACTGTTTCCAGTGGCTATACTGAAAGCTGAGTCAGCCTCGTGGAAGTATTTACACCACAGGAACTGGCAACTGATACAAATTCAATGCTCTTCTTCCCCTCTCAAACCCAAGAGGCAGCTGTTAAACCTTTACCAGCATACCACTGGGGTAGCTACCACAGTGAGTGTGATGAGTAAATGAATGCATGTTATGTCAAGTGTTTAAAGGGATGTCTGGCCAGGTGGTGGTTGTTATTAGTGTCTCCAGGGTTTAAGCCACAGTGAGTATCCACAGTGTCTGCTTTTAGTGCTGTTTTGCCTTCAGAAATGGCAAAATCTAGGTCATGTAAGAGGACAGTGGACAGTTATGTGACTGAAGATAGCTAGTATGGCCCACAAGGATGCAAAGGATAAGAGAGAGATACACGTAGTGCTGGCACTGTACCTTTCTCTTCTTGAAGGCTCCTTTGGCACCAGGCACAGCTTCACAGACACGGCTGATGGCTTCCCTGAGGACAGAGAAAGAGATTCGTTTTATTACCTGTCAGTCAGGGTTATGCAACTCAGAGGCTCTACACTCAACATCCAGGGGAAATAACTGCTTGCTTATTTTAGCAGAGAAAATCAGTCCTCCAAGCAGGGAGTCCTCTGGTCTCTCCTCTAACAAGCAAAACTAAGTCAAGCACAAGCAGGTCACCTTAGAACTTCTGCTCTATTCTAGTTCACTCTTACTGTGGCAGTTGTATGCTGTGCTGTTTGGTTTTTATCAACTTGACACAAACTAGAGTCACCTGGGAAGAAGGAACTTCAGCTGGGTTATTGATTCCATTAGACTGGCCTGTGGGAAAGGGTGTGAGGCACATTCTTAATTGTTAATTGATCCGAGAGGGCCCAGCCCACTGTGGGTGGAGTCACCCCTGGGCAGGTGGGCCTGGGTTGTACAAGAAAGACATGCCTTTAATCCCAGCACTCAGGAGATAGAGGCAGGTGGATCTCTGTGAGTGAGTTCAAGGCCAGCCTGGTCTACATAGTGAGTTCCAGGCCAGCTGGGGCTACAGGGAGACCCTGTCTAAAAAGACAAAAAGAAAAAGAAAAAGGGTTAAAAGAAAAGCAAGCAGGCTGAGCACGGCCAGGGGAGCAAGCCAGTATGCTGTATTCTTTCATGGACTCTGCCTCGGTTCCCGCCTCCAGCTTCCTGTCTTGAGTTCCTGCCTTGGCTTCCCTTAAAGATGAACTGTGACCTGGATGTGTAAGCTGAAAGAGATTCTTTTTCCCCCAGGGGTCTTTTGGTCTGATGTTTGTCACAGCAACAAAAGCCAAACTAGAACATATGCTAACAGTGCAATATGATTCATGACACATTTTATTATTTTTTTACATTGATTTGACCTAAGATTTGAATTTTAAAACCAGCTATGGTCAGGGCAGCAGGGCCAAACCTAGCTAGCCACCATAGCTCACTGAGACCTTCTAAAGAGAATTAAAATGTTAACAGAAGAAACTTAATATTCTCCGTGTTTAATTCTTAGCTTCTGCCATTTTAAATACAAAGCCAGCTGGGGCTGTAGCTCAGGCGGTAGAGCACTTGCCTAACACTCACAAAGTCCTGGATTCTATCCCCAGTACCTCATAAACCAGGCATGGTAGTGCATGCCAGTAATCCTAGCACTCAGGAGGTAGGGACAGGAGGATCAGAAGCTCAGAGTCATCCTCAGATGCTTGAGGCCAGCCTGGGGATACATGGGACCCTGTCTCAAAGCCTAAAAATAAACAAATACAGACGTTATCAATCACTCTGCACACAGCCTTCTGACTTGGTGGTGGGAAAGTGATTCGCATTCATCAGAAATCATACTTTGAACTTTTTTTTCTAAGTTTCAAGTTTGAAAATGCTTTATTTCTTGATAAGTATGCATTCTCTGTATATATTATGTAGGTCAATGTGATATGTCAGCAAGTGCATGGAATGTGCACTGGTCAGGCCCAGCTTCCCTTGGCCCTTCCTCCACCAATATACACCCTCCACAAAAGCACACCCTTCCCATCTTCTAGGGGTCACTATTCAAGCCCACCTCTCTTAGCCTCACATATCAGACAAACAAGTGGTACTCAACTATCTATGTCAGGCTTACTGCACTTGAGATAATATCCTCCTGTTCCATCCACAGGGTCCTCTCTGAGAATGTTGGGCATCAGTAGCAGTCCTCAGCTCCCAGTCAGTCCCACGAATCCCATCAGAAGCAAGCAGTGCTAAAGCACTATGTGCTAAACTAGCGTGTTCCATAGGTTTGCATATTTTGAATCTGAGGTGAGTTTATAAGTCAAGGAACTACTGCACTACAAAACCCTGAGGGTTTAGGAGGAGTCCAGGAGCTCAGTGGAACACAGTTGAGGCTGTGTAGGGGAAGGTGCCTGGAACGGCACCCAGCTGAGCAGCTCTGCATGCTGGATGCTGTCCCAAGTCAAGGGGTGAGAGTGTCCCAGTGTTGAGGGATATTCTTGGAGTCCAGCAGGACAGGGGTGCCAAACAGGTCTAACCACACACAGAGCTTTGACAAAGTGCAGACAAGGAGGTGTGGAGGTCCAGATGCAGGTGTGGAAGGCTACAGCGGCAGCTTCAGGGATGCTTGGGAAGTACCCACAGCTCAACATTGTGACTCAGTGTAGGTGAAAAATGACAGGGGAGGGGCTGAAGACAGCTCAGAGTCAGGAGCCTAAAGAGGAGCTAGATAAACATCTCAACTCCCACACAAAGACGGAGAAAATACTGTAAGAACAGGAAAAAAAACAAACAAACAGGGATTAGAGATTGGCTGAATTAACAGAAGAAAATGGCTCCTTAGAAACAGCCAACCAACTTCCCGAGCTGAACGATCTGTGCAATTACTGTCTACTGTCACTGGTAAAATAATCGTGGTCACAAAGTGCTGCTTCAGGTACATCCTTGTCAAATTACGGCAGAGTGTTTGGCATTCAATGAGCTGTAGAGAGAGGAGAGGAAAATGGGACTCTGACAGTTCAGGTGCCAAGAAACCTGCACAGTATGAGTCATCCCGACCTGGAAAAGTGCAATGAGGGGCAGACATTGGGAATGTTGACACTTCTATCTATTTGTAAGAACCATCTAACTGTGTTTCTATCAAATTGACCAAATACAGACCATCCAGAGGCGCTCTCAAAGTAAATTCCTTGTTTGCTTTCAGCTCAAGGGCATGTTGTCTTTTTATGTGTGTGGGGAGGGGTGTGTGCACAGGCTCCTGCACATGTGAGGTCAGAGGAGGATGCTGCCTGCTCTATCACTCTCTGCCTTACTCCTTTGAGACAGGGTCTCTCAATGACCTTGGAGCTAGGTTGGCAACCAGCAAGCTCCAGCAATCTCTACCACACAAGCAAAGGGGTTACAGGCAAGGGCAATCACACCTAGCTTTTTATTTTTTAACATGGGTGCTGGGGATTTAAACTCAGGTCATCATGCTTATATAGAAAGCATTTCCTACTCACTGAGCCATCTCCTCAGCCCTATGGTGTATTTTTATAAAAGTATATAAGTGCTGATATCTATCTTTCCTGTTTAATATTTAAATATTTATCTTATGTTTAATTGTGTGTGTATGTGTTTTCAAGTGAGTATAGTTGACTAAGGAGGCCAGAAATGGGCATTGGATCCCTTGGAGCTGGAGTTACAGGAGGTTATGAGCCACCTGATGTGGATACTGGGAACTAAACTCAGGTCCTCTACAAAAGCAGTATGTGTTCTTAACTGCAGGGAAGCTGTGTTCAAAATGGCGCCGACTGCCTCAGTGGGAGGAGGAGCTAAGGAATTGGACCAAGGACCAAAAATAAGAAAAAGTGTAGGTAATTGGAGACTAACCAGGAGGAAAATGCATGAGCACCTTGTGATCACCATAGTAGTGCATTGAAAGGAGCCTGCGTGCTCTACGTGATCTTCCACAGGATTGGAGGATTGTGGTTTTTGCCTTTATAAGCATTGTAACACTTACAATAAATGAGTTCCTGCATGACTAAACTCCCTGCTGCGTCTGAGAGTCTGGGGAGGCAGATGAATGGGCGAGCAGCACACTTACCCCTCCTCAGCCCCCATTACTGAGCTCCACGTCCTGCCTCGCTGGCAGGCAGAGGCTCAGCACTTAACCACTGAGCAATCTCTCTAGGCCCTTACCTATTTAATTTTGCATGAGGCCAGAGGTCAACCTTGGGTGCTGTTACTCAGGACATGTCCACCTTATTTTTTGAGACAGGCTCTCTCACTGGCCTAGAACTCACTGATTCAGTAGCCTGGCTGGTCAATGAACTCAGAGTTTCTCCTATCTACATATTTTCCCAGCACTGAGATCATGTACACGAGCCACCATGCCTGGCTGGGTTTTTTTCATTATTAATTTTTATTTTTAAAAAATTTTATGTGCTTGTCAGACTATATGTATGTGCACCAGGTGCATGCAAGTACTTGTGGAGGCCAGGAGAGGGCATCAGATACCGGAACTAGAGTTACAGACAGTTGTGAGTGCCCATGCAGGTGCTGGGAACCAAACACATGTCTTTGTAAGAGCAGCAAGTGCTCTTACCTGCTGAGGCCATGGCTGGTTTATAAACTTGGGTTTTAGAGATCACACACAGGTCCTTGTTGTTTGAAAGGCAAGCACTTTACCAACTAAGTTGTCTCCCAGTGGCAGTTCAGTAAATTTCTGCACTGTGCTTATTAAGTTAAGAAATGGATTTAGCTGAACAAAGCAGCTAAATCCCTGATGGTCTCAGAAAGCTAAAAAAGAAATGCTCTATACAGAATGTCTCTCCTTTGTCATTCTTCAAACATCCCCAGTAATTTCCAGATTCTTTTCCTATCTACCAACATGGAACAGAAGAAAAAAATAAAACAGTCTTAGTAACAGTTTTCCAAAGACTCCCACTATGAAATGTCTAATCTAGTGAGGCAGGAGACATTTGCAGCTGGTCTCTACTACTGGGAAAGAGGAAGGAAGCAGTGTTTTCAGAGGAGACTGCATAGCACATCAGGTAACAGACCAACAAGTCCTCACTGAGAGACCCACAAGGGTCCTGAAGTGTGTCCACACTCCCAATCTTTTATTCTCATTTGCAAATATAAGACATTCCAGAAATCTTTCAGAGCTCATACATTCAGGATAAACCCTAAGGACACCTTTCTAAGATCCCCAGAGATTCTCTAATCAACATGATTTCTTAAAAATGTGCTGCCTGCAGAACTGGTAGAGAATCTGTTTCTAATGGTCACGTGATCACACGAGAGCAGAATCCTCACTTCACCCCGCCCTGGGTCTATTTCTGTTTGAAATAGAAATGACACACTATTAAAAACTGCAATATTTAGATGTCTGAAATTAGGTACTTTAACTCCAAGGTCTAATTTTAAATGTAACTATTCTCAGTTTCCTTCTCGGCTGTTTCAGTGAGCAGCACTGTCTCTGTTTGTTCACTTAGCAATAATTTAGTTTTGTGTAATTCCATTTAA